CTACCATCAATGTGTGAAGGTTGCAGAATTTCCACATTTTTGCCAACACTTACTATTGCCTGTATTTTGGGGTTTTTTTCCTCTGGGTTTTTCTTTTCTTTTTCTTTCTTTTTTCAGGTGGGTGGTGTAGGGACTGAACCCTGCACCTTGGTGTTGTTAGCACCATACTCTAACCAACTCAGCTAACTGGACAGCCCTATTGTCTATCTTTTTGATTAAAGCCATCCTAGTGGTTGTGAAGTGGTATCTCAGTGGTTTTGATTTGTGTTTCCTCAATGACCAATGAGACTGACCATTGTTTCATGTGTTTATTGGCCATTTGTCTATCTTCTTTGAGAAATTCAAATGCTTGACCAACTTTTAAATTGGATTGTCTTTTGTCATGAGATTTAAATGTTCTTTATATATTCAGAATGCAAAGTTCCTTATCAGATATATGTTTTGCAAAATTTTTTTCTTCTGTGTGTTGTCTTTTTAATTTCTTGATGGTATTATTTGCAGCACAAACAAAGGTTTTTAATTTTGATAAAATCTAATTTATCTATTTTTCCTGGATGCTCTCAGTTCTATTTCAATGGCTTATATGTCTATCCTTATGCCAGTACCATACTGCTGATTACTGTGGTGTTATAGTTATGTTTGAATTTGGGAAGTGTGAGTTTTCCAAGTTAGTTTTTCTTTTTCAAGATTGTTTTGAGCATTCTAGATCCCTTGCATGTCCATATGAATTTTTGAGTCAGCTTGTCAATTTCTGCAAGTACCCCAGGAGGGATTTTGATTAAGGTCACACTGAATCTGTAGATCAATCGGGGGAATAGTGTCATCTTAACAATATTTAGTTTTTCAATCCATGAACATGGGATATCTTTCCATTTATTTAGCTCTTCTTAAATTTCTGTCAATGTTTTGTAGTTTTTAATGTCTAAGTCTTACTTTTATTTTGTTAATTTTATTCCTAAGTATTTTCTTCTTAATGCTATTGTCAATGAAATTGTTTTCTCAATTTCATTTTCAGTGTGTTTATTGCTAGTGTATAGAAATAAAATTGAATTTTATGTATATGATCTTGTATCTTGCAACCTTGCTGAACTCACTTATAAGTTCTAATAGTTTTTTGTAGATTCCTTCAGATTTTCTCTATGTAAGCTCATGTCATGTGTGAAAAATGCTTTACATGGGAAAACAATGTGAAAGAAAAATAGATTCATAATCAAAGGAATGATACTTACATGGTTAAGTATTTTACGGAACTTACTAAAGAATGATTCCATCATAATTGAAAATTACATTGACAGGCAAGAGCTATTATTATATATGCAAAATGGGAAAATAGACAATGATTGTAAAGACAATGATTAAAGACAAAGACAGGAATTTCTCTCAGATCATAGGAAAGTATGAAATGATAGGTAAAAAGTGAAAGATTAGAAAAAGCTGAAGCTTCATGAAGAAGCCAAAGACAATGATTAAAGACAAAGACAGGAATTTCTCTCAGATCATAGGAAAGTATGAAATGAGAGGTAAAAAGTGAAAGATTAGAAAAAGCTGAAGCTTCATGAGGAAGCTCACATTAAATATTCCCTTCTGTCCCCTTAAGTATAAAAGGTGTTTTTTAAAGTTTCCTGATTGACATTTCACAATGTACCCCTTCACTCCAACCAGGTCTGTTACTCAAAACAGTCATATATGCCTGATGCTCACCTGGACAGTATCTTTGTGAATTTTTTTCTCTCTACTGTCTCCAGTTCATATTCTTGCTCCATCTGGGTGAGCAGAGTGGGTTTGCTGAGTTGATGTCCTATGACGGGGATGCACAACATATGGGAGATGACTGTGCAGCATACAACAAAAACTGCCATGAGCTGATCATGACACATTATACACATGTATTAAAATATAACTGTGTACTCCATAAATGTGTATGACTAATATGTGTCCTTAAAAATAAATTAATTTAAAAAACTTTATTGGCAGAAAACCTGGAAAAAAAATTACCATGGAACTGTGGCAAGAGCTTGGTCTTTGAGGTTCTGAAGATAAGCAAGGGTGACTTTAGGAGCAGCAAAATGATCACAACCAATTTCTAATGGACAAAGCAAAAATAGAGCACTTGGGAGTTGGACTTCTAGAACGGTGGAGTGAGGACCTAAAGTCACAAAACAAATGGAAAATTATCTATCCAAGAGAGATTACCGAACCTTGGTAAGAGAGCAGGGTCTGTGACATTTTAACTTGGGATTATTTTCATTTCTTCTCCTTCCCCAGATCAGTGGCATCATAGCCAAAAGCCAGCAGTCTAGTAGTCAGCACAGAGGTCTGGTTTTGGTTTTTGGAGGTCTTCTAAAAACACCATCCTCGGAGAAGAGTCAATATTTTTTTCTGAATTTGCAGCTCTATTCTCAGGGTGTTGTGGCTATTTAATTTCGCTCAGAGCTTAGCTAAGGAGAAAAACAAAAGCCTCTACCTCCAAGTTATAACCAAGACAACAGCAACCTGTTAACAACTTCACCAGATGCTCAAGGTAGTGATTTCACTTGGGGAAAACAAGAGTCTGGCTGGAAAATTGAAAGGAAAACATGAAAAACTAGACAACCACAGGAAACTTTGAAAAGCTCCAGCAAGTTCTTAAGGGTCTAAAAGGCTATGCACACACCCATGCAAGACCTGGGAAAGAAGTCCCAAGTCACGCAACTTTGGCTGACTTTAAGACCCTGTTCNCCTTGGCAAAGGGTGGACGAGATATCAACAAGACATTTAAGAAAACCATCTTACTGATCATTGGTGGGGTACTAAATTATAATGACCTGGGGGTGATCGCTAAAAAGCCAGGCTTGAAAATAAAAACAAACACTTTAAAAATAGCCATCATGAAACAGAAAAGACATACATATCTGTACACAGGAAAAATACATACACTGACAATTTATTGTAAGATTTGTATTAAGAGCAAAAATATTTCAAATAACCTAAATGTCCAAAATTGAGAGTCTAGCTAAGTATATCACATTCCCTGAGTGAAATTTTATGTGGGCAATAAATAGTGAGAAGTAAGATGGTATCTGCACATTTTTCTGTTTCACGAAGCTGGTGTTCATGTAAGCATTTCTCTGATATTAACACTAATATTTCTAAAGAGTTAATGATTTTGCATTAACGAGGTAGATTAGTTTAAAATTGTCATAATTTTTATCTTAAAGTTCACTGATGCCACAAAATGATAAGTTATATAAATTATGGTCTATTATGCCAAGAGACGTCACAAAAATAATTTTCTTCTGTCCTTTTAGCCCTTGATTGATGTGTGGATCCTTGTGCACCTTCTTTGCTGTCATTTTTTATAAAATTTATAATTATAGTTGTCAGATTAAAAAAAATAGCCATCAGAAAGCTGTGGCTGGGAAAGTTACTAAACAGATAAGTAGCAACAAGAAAACCATAATAAAAACCATTAACAACCACACATCTTGAATAAAAAAAGGGATCCAACATCAGATTTGGTGCAATATAGTATCTAAAATGTCCAGCTTTCCAGAAAATATTAGGAGACATGCAAGAAAACAGGGAAGTATGAGGGATCTTCAAACAGTTC